TTCAAACAATAGTAAAATTTATCACAATTTCAATCTCTAAAACAATGTGTGGTGATCATTCTTCTCAAGAAATGTCTTTTGAAATACATGAAAAAAAATTTAACCTTTCATTCTCCATTTCCTCCTGAAATAACTGCACTTTAAAGGCAAAAAACCAAAGATCATTCAACAGTATACATTGGGGGAAGGCACGTCTTCTGGGAATAATATAAAAATTACAACCAGTTACTGATACTGAATATAAAAACAGCTTACAGAATTGGCTTGTTTCCGGGCTTGATTGATGAGCTCCTTTATCTCAGAGATGTTTTTCTTCAGGTTATCCTCAAGTTCCTTGAGAGGTTTGAGTTTATCTATCAGTCGATCAGCTTCTTGTTCAAGATTTTTCACAGTGGCGTCTGCATCTGCAACTGCATAGAACAAGGTTAGCACATACCACACATACACATGCATGCATACGCACATGCACACACAGAGAAATGAAAATAGCAGCATGCTTAAATAAATAATTGAAATAATTTCACCTTATCCACAAGACAAAAGCAAGCCCATGGCTGTTGAAGCAGCTTGTGATAGCAAGTGGGAATATTTTAATTGGGACTCAAGTAGGCCAGAGGAGGAGATGTTAGAGAAAGAGAGACAACACTGACTTTGTGATGAAGGTGAAAGTTAGCACTGAAGGTTGAGAATATGATAAACTTAATTTAATACTTAATTTCTAGCTTCAGCCCAAATGCTAACCTTTACAGAATAGAACTTTAGTCACAGAATCAAGGAAATGAAAGTGTCTTTAAAATGTCACTTAGTGTGTCCAAGCCAGACCTGTATTTAAATCAAGCTTCTCACACAAAATTAGTTTTCTTTCTTTTTCTCACTGTCTTTATTTGCACATCTTAAAGAGCGAAGCTATCAAAATATCTTCTGAAAACCCTTCAATGTCGAACAACCCTTAGACTAAAGGCCTATTTTATACTTTAATTAAATCTTTCATGCTGCAGTTCATTTTCATTTTGAAGAATAGTTGATTATCCTGTCCTCTATATTATTTTGAACCATATTAAACTGCCATTTTTGTAGGTAAAAAAAAATGTTGAATATTAATACTTTCAAAAGGGGTTTAACTCTAAAATAATTGAAGGTTATCACTGATCCATAGAGTTTCAACATGTGTTTTTCACAGGATGGCAAATGATACATGGAAAACCAATTATTCTATCTCTGGGATGCTGGCCGTCTTATCCAAACTATATCATTTATTATCTGATCGAGCATGTAGTGTTCTGTTTTCTGCCATTGTGAGCATGATAAAAAAGTGAAACTGCTCAAGGTCCAAGGCTACATGCCCTGCTAGATCTGCTCTCTGGCTGACATGGAACCTCTGAGAACTAATCCTCAGGAATTAATCATATGTGCTCAAAAGAAAGGAAATTTAATTATTTTTAAACTAGGTTTTGAAGTATTTTGAATTCATGCTCATAACTATGAGTTATATTGTTAGTGATATTTAAAAAGAACATAGATCTCTTATCAACTTTAAGTAAAAGAGTTACAAAATCAAGAACTGAGTATTTTCTTCCTGAAATGAGGCTGTTAGGCTCAAAGCTCTTGTTACGTAATTGTATAGATATTCAACATAAACAGCTACCCCTTTGTTTTGTACACTTTCAGTAAATCATTTGTCCATTTTCCCTTCCTTTAATTCTCCAGCATTACTCTGATATTCTACAAATTATTCTAGAATTAGGGGGAAATGATTTAGATTGGATTCATGAGAAAGAAAAATGGGCTAAGCAAAGACTACTTAGGTTTAGGTGAATAATGGATCCTTTTCTTTTAAAGCTCCCAGAAGTTTCTATTAAATGTTTCAAAAAGGAATCTGAAGGCTCCTCTGCTCCCTCGCTTTTTCTCCTCTATCTCCTGGAGCAGTTTAAGTCATATGGAAATTATNGTTTCAAAAAGGAATCTGAAGGCTCCTCTGCTCCCTCGCTTTTTTCTCCTCTATCTCCTGGAGCAGTTTAAGTCATATGGAAATTATCTTCTTGAAGGTTTAAAAATAAATCATCTGTGATATTGAGTCTGATGCTTTCTTGCATAGTAGTTTTTGAAAACTTCTGACTTTCTTCCATAATTATTTGACTGTGTCAATTTTTAAATCACTTCTGAAGATAGGTTTTGATAACAATGTTTTTCTGTAAAATTCTCTATGTCTTTTAAGCTTTAAAACTTATTAGCATAGAGTTTTTCCAAGTACCCTCTTATGTGTTAAGTTTCCTCTCTTATCTGCATGAGAACTTTGCCTATTTGTGCTTTATTTTTCTTGATTAAGACTGCAAACATCTAATTTTTTTTTTTTACCTTTTTATTCCTAAAGATTCACCTCTTGGATTTTTCAAGTCTATTATTTTTCTGTCTTCTAATTCACTAATATTTTTTCATCTTCTTTCTTTTAGTTAATTTTATTTGTTTAACTTATACAATTGATTTTTAAAATTATTTCAATACTTGTTTAGTTATGTAATTGAACTCATTTGCCACTGAGGAGAGCCTTCTCATGTTTTGATATGTTGGGTCTTATTATTATTATTTTTTATTTTGCAGTTTTGTTTTTTACTTTGAATTTAAACTATGGGATGTTTAAGAGAGAATATTATATATGCTCATTTGTTAAGGTTTCACTTTATTTATTTAATTATGTGCTTTTCCAAATACTATTCTCTAGAAGTATATCAAATACATCCACATACTAACTTTTTGTTCAGAAAGATTCCTCTTATATATCTAGCACTAATATTGTAACACTGGGAGGAATAGCTACATAATGTTTAAAGCAATAGAAAAACATGGCAACATGCAAAGCTGAAGCTTTTTGTAATAGGCAAGCAAGCATAAAGGTTACTGAAAGATATGTAAGTAAAATATACATACTGATTTCTGCAGGTAATTTCATATGAAAGTAAAACAAAATAAATTAGAAAATTCATGAGGAAATATTTTTTATAGATATTATAAAGTAGTGACTATCAAAAAAACTATCCATCACAAGTACTAATCACAAATGCATCTCATTTTAAGTCAAACTAGTGTTATCAAATAAAAGTACACAAAAACATGTCATTTACAGGCCATTGTCCATAGTAAAAGAAACTTCATTATAATAGATAGAACATAGACACAGTTTAATTAATATTACAGATAATTAACTATTTCCATAGAGGACAGGATCAAAAAAATTACAGACAAATATTATGAAAGGGCTACTATCAGCTGAGAATCAATTTAAAATTAAACGAAATGATATCTTACATTAGAACATAAGTAAAAGAGAAAGTGATACTTATTTTAAATTTTATTTTCATTAATTTTTCAGGGGAAAATGTGATTTGGCATGCATTTGAATCATTTATTCAGATGAAATTTTTGAAATACATGGAGAAGCTGTATCTAGACTTACACAAGAAAAACGTTTTAAAAAAATATTGTACCTTGTCTTTTTTGCCCTTAAATAAATGGCAAGGAATAAATCCTTCTCCCTAGTTCTGAAGTGCATGTTATATGTGTTTGCACTCTTCCTTGCTCATGAAGGAGTCATGCTAGTAGTAGCTAGTATTTCATAGTATCATTATAGTATCATTATAGTATCATAGTATCATGATTTGAGGCTAGCATGCTGAAAACTCAGACTCTGCTCCCCCAACTGCATCTGAATTATATGGCATATACTGTCAATAACAGGGTTTTTGATATTGTACTCTGCAAATATTTTGACACCCAATGAAAATGTTGGTATATAAAGAGGGCTAGTCTCTTGAGAGTGACAAATATAAAAAAATCAAGCATCTCCTTTGGTGAAATCACATGCTAAGATAATGTTTTATCATTTGACAGAATGGAAAAAAATCCTAATATTTATTGATTATGCTAAATCATTTAAATTATCGTTATATTAAGTTCTCCCACATTTCTCAGTAAATCCTTATCAACTCAGTACAACCTGATGCAACATACAAAAGATATGAAGAAATAGTCTTCTTGGTAAACTATATAAATGCTTTAATTTCCTGAAAATGTTAACTAGTGAATATAAATAATAAAATATAAATATTTTTTGAATTTTAAAGTATTTCTAAATGATACCATTTCTATATCATGTTCGAACAGGACTGCCAATTAGTATGCTCTTTGACTTCTAAGTTCCATGGAACTTCACCAACTTGGAGGATATAATTTCCCAAGTATAAATATACCGTATTTGCCGGCGTATAAGACGATTTTTTGGCCCTGAAAAATATGCCTCCAAGTGGGGGGTCGTCTTATACGCCAGGTACACTTCAGATAGACTGCCCATAGTGCTTGCCCCGTGCCATAGTGGCCTCCCGATGCCCGCCCACTTCATTCCACATACCGTTCAGGCATCAGCAGCGCTGCTGGGTGTATGCTCGGCTGTTATGCGATTTTGCTGTTATGCGATTTTACCACACTCGCAAAATCGCACACAGCCGACAATATAACAAACTCTGTATTTTGAGTGGAAATGTTAGGGGGTCATCTTATACGCCCAGTTGTCTTATACGCCGGCAAATACGGTATTTTCAATTACAATAAAGGATTAAAAAGTATTTGACATTACAATACTGAATATCATGCAAACTTTGAGAATTCCTAATTTCCTCTCGATTGGACACAATTTGGATGGAAAAAGCAGTGGTGCAAAGCTGGGATACTTGGACTCTAGTTCTGAAGCTCCGGGACCCTCAACTCCTGAGCCCCGTCCATAAAATGAGGAAGACAGGCCACAGCATGATGAGGGTCCCTTCCAAATCTGATGGTACGAGTGTAGGGTGCTTTTATAGTGAGGAAAAAATAAATGATATAATCAAAATAAAAAAGGGGATCTTACTGTTTTTCGAAGGATCTTTTACTAAAGCATTTGTTTTGGCTACGCTGTCTGCTAGTTGATTGTAATTTTTCTTCAGACCATCAAGGTTCTGGTGGAGATCTTTAATCTGTGCCAGTACGTCTTTTGCTGTGTCGTTGGCTTGTCTTGCTTTGTCCTTAACGGCTTGCAGTTTAGCGGCTGTGTCTGTCAGCAGAAGCGGGTATGAAAAATAAAACAAAGGTCTGGAGTTAGTGGCTTGTCAAAGCGAGGCTGCACATATACAGGGAAAGGCTGAACTCTGTCTCATTCAGTTGTAGCAAATGAAGTCAATTTTTAGCTACGTTAAATGTTCTTGGGGACCTTTGCTATGAATGCCTGATTAGCTCTTAAGATAGCAAAGTGATTATTCTAAATGTCCATTGTAGAAGGGTAAATTGTGATTTGCTGCTGAACACATTAAAGAGAGAAATTTATCCACATGAGTTATATAGCCTCATCAAAAGTAGGCTTCAGATTTAATCTGCACATTCATGGGGGGTTGAGTGTATTTCAATTTAAGGGTAGGATAGCACACTTTTTCCAGTATGTTAGACTATGTGTTCGTACATTTATATTTGTTTTCGGCCTTGGAAATTTTCTATGTATGTCCTTACTTGTTACTAAAGAGGTGACATGAAAATCTGGGAAGTTACTTATGTTTATTAAATAATAACAATTAGACATCATTAAGATTTTAATATTTTCTGTGTTGTATAAATATATGCATTTGTTTTCATGATCATATTTGTATAAAGATAATATACTGTATATAGAGATGCCTACTAGTATGTGTAGATTAGTGGTTAAGACAACAGGCTCTGTGGGGTTCAAATCTCATATATGCCACTTTCAACAATGGCCTTCAGTACCCTATGTCTCAGATTGTAACCTGTAACATGGGCATAAAAATACTATATACCTGGTAGGATTAGTATAAGGATTATATAAACTTAACATAAGCATCCTGAGCAAGCACTCAACAAGTGTTAGCAACCTTTGTTATTATGTCATGCTATGAAAAATACAAAAAAAGTCACTCCAAAAGAATAGTGCTTTCAGGAACTCATACCAAGCAATAACTTCAACTGCTTGAAATAGGTGGGAAGATACTGAAGATATGGTACAACCATTAATGTCTTTGAAAGCTGAAACATTTAAAGAACTGAACTTTGCCAAGAAATATGTGTTGAGAAAGTTGGCTCTCGCCTGCTGTAGGTACAGTGATAAACTGCCACTTTGTGGTAGTGCATCACCAGGCTAGAGAACAGTGTCTATATGATTTTATCCTTTTCTGCTAACATAAGATTTCCAGGGCTGAAACATGGACCAACAATACAATAACAATATGGCTATATTTTCCATTTTTTTGTAACACAGTCCTATGGATGTCAGCTAAGGTAACAAATGATAAGGAATATCATAGTGTGAAGTACAATTTAGTTTCTCATTCTCACAAAGAATTAATAAGAGAACCGGTATCTAAGGTCCTGACAACAGTACCAGTGTTATGTTAGAAAAGGGGTAAAAGACAGGACATTCTTTAAAAGTTCAGCTCAACTGGCATAGTTTGCAGTATCCTCAATGCTTACCATTTGGAATTGCTGATAACTTTCCCAAAGTGTCATTCAGAGCTCTCGTAAGGTCACCATTTCTAACATCGGCATTTTCTATTTTGGTTTTCAAGCCATTCAGACGGTCATCATTTTCTGTGAATAAAAAACGAACAAGAAAAAGGATGAAACACTTCAACTTAAATAATCTGTGAGCTTATACTTGGATATACAATTTCAAGCTATTTTAATGTAAAGTTAATAAAAAGTAAGGCAATTTATTTAATTTGTTTAATTTATTGGCATCTATACATAAAAATATTTCAGATCATACTATAAAGACCATTTGACATTTCAATGTGTTGAATAATTATGTTTTCTTCTTGGTATTTGATCTTTACCTTACTTAATTTGATTGTTTTCTATGGAGAAAAACTTTAAAAGAATCAGTCTTTTACTGATTTGTAGTGATGTCTTCTTGACATCACCCCCATTAATGCCACGTTAAAACAAAATTATTACCAAAATGGAACATTGAATTAGCTCTTAAAAATCTCAAGTAGATAGGATTGTTAAGCAGACTCTCCCAATTTCAATAAGCAACACTTATTAATATTTGTTTGAAACAGAAATATAAGTCAAAGGAATGAAAGAATAGCTTCTTGAACATTTCTGCTAAACCGTCATTTTTTAAAATAGAGAAAACAATATTTTACAAATTGTTTACAAAAAATTTGTAAACAAAATTTACAAATTTACAATATTCTACTTTATGTAAGCTTTTTCTTGCTATTTTACATACTTTCTTTAACATTAAAACATGTCACTTACTAGATATAATATTACAAATGTAAATTTTCCAGTTTCTTTCTACTAGTTTTTAATATTGTCAAAACTTTACATTAGTTTGTATTATAATTATAACTAAGCAGCTCAGTGTTTGAGTGTAACAATATAAAGAGTAGAAGTTATGAAATGTTTTAGGGGACAGAAAATAAAGATCCTATCTTCTGAGATAAAAATGTACGTTTAGAAATCTTATACATGTATCAAACTGCAAATGTTATCTTAAGATTCAATCTGTCTTCTTTTTTCCCCACATCATTTGTTAGTGAATAGAACTGGAAAAATGAAAGATACAAAACTCTATGCTTCCCACAATACTTTTTACTTCTCCTGACTGAATAAAGCACATTGTTTCTTGAACATACAGTAATACCTTGGTTTGCGAGCATAATTCATTCCAGAAACAAATTACTCGTATTGCAAGACATCGCTTGTTTACCAAGTTAAAATGTATTAGAAATGTTTGCCTATCTTGTGGAACATTTGCTAACCAGGTTACTCGCAACCTAAGGTTTTACTGTATTTGAAAAAGTTTATCATGTCTTACTATTTGTTCCCTTGGGAGATGCATGCTAATTGTTTGAATTCACTCCACAGAAACACAAAACATAATAAAAGGCAGAGTCCCCAAGTAAGAAGGCACACTGAGAACGGACCAGGAAAGAGGGGGTGCCCCAGTTCTGCCTGGTCTGGCCTGGTCAACTCTTAGTGATAGAAAAGACCTGTAGTCGCTGAGTGGGTTTATGTGCCATGTTTAGTGTTTGCAAGCTTTGTTGGATTATTTTATTTAATCCTCTCAGTAACTTTTCCCATGTATGTACTATTACCATCTCCAATTTACCAATGGGGAAATTGAAGCTTAGAGAATTTAATTAAGTTTCCTAAATTTGCATGGTTAAGAAATGGTAGAATTAGAATTCAACTCCAAGAAGTCTCATTCCAGAAAGTATTCTATTAACTACTACACTCTACTAGAAATTGGCAGCCAAAATGGGGACTGATAGAGCATATTAGGTAGTAGTACATTTCCCCACCTCTATTTGCTCCTTATCCTTTTTTTCCTCTCTTCCTTTCTCCCTATCTCTCCTCTCATTTTCTCCTTTATTACCTTAAAAAAAAATTGGTCACATTTGAGGAATCTTATGAGCCTCACATAAACAATATATATAATCAAAGTGTAATGATTTGGAGAGGATTAGCAATACCTACATGCAAAATGGTAGGCAAATATGCAAAGTGTTCTTCATTTTTAAAGATCATGAGAAAAATATAGGAATAGGTAGTTCACAATAAAATAAATAGAAATAATTACCAAATTAAAATAAAACACCCAACATTATCATAATTAAAGAACTGCAAAGCAAAACAATAGTGAGATATCATTTTCATCTGATTGGGAAAAGTTAAACATCTGATAATACCACATGCTCACAAAAGTGTTGGTGGAAGTTAAAATTGAAGACATTCTGTGAAAAGCAATTCAATAAATTTATTAGAATTTTAAATAGAAATTTTTTTTGGTCCAGCCATCCCACTGCCAGAAATTTATCCTACAGATATACTTGTGAAAGTATATCAATATATATCTTCCAGGGTATTCATTAGATCTTTACCTGAAATAGCAAAAAAAGCTCAGTGTTAAGAGATTCTTTATAGCAATATGGCATATCCATGCAATGGTATATACTGTAGTCTTTAAAAAAAGAATTAGATTACTGATATAAAAAATTCTTAAGACCTTTGTAAGAAAATAAGCAAGGTACACCATAAAATGTATACATATTTTAAGGAAGGAAAACTGTATTAAAATTGTAATACTCAATATATACCGATAACAAAGGATGAACGAATACAAATCACGTTTGACTTCTGCAATTACAAGAGGTGCTGAAAGTGGTTACCATCAGTGCCCAGACACTTCTGATTACGGTGAACTATTGCTTGAGCAACGTTGACCAAAGTGTCTACCTGTATACATTTTTTGGCACCCCTGGTATATGGTGATACATAAACAAAAATTTGGCAGGGTGAGTCCGGTGGTGCGTAGGTGGGAAAGAACATACCAGAGAACCTTGACAATACTTAAAACAGGTAGGAACTAGGAACAGAACAAGGAAGGGAGTTAATGGTGGTGTGAGGGTTAGTGAACTAAAACTTTTCGTTTTATACCAAATTGTGCTGGCTAAATTGTTTTCTCTGTGCAGATATTTCTGTTATTTTATTTAAAACAGTTAAAAAATACTTAAGCAATCTGAACTAGGGCAGACTTATTTGCCAACACCAAGACTGTTGCTTTCATCACTTTCCTGGTGCCTAGTATGGGCGGACCAGGAGAGACTACATCTCACAGAAGAGTCAAAACATCCTTGATTTGACTGTGTGCCCACCCAGATTAGAGGTCAGGCCTCTGGATTCTTAGAGGAACTGAGCAGGACACTGGCAGATGGAGAACACTCTTTATTTATTGGCTTTCATCTGGGAAGAATAGCAAAGGGAAAAGAAGATAGAGGATCCTTAACTATCAGTGCTCTGAGTGTGAAAAAGAGAACTGAACATATTAATTAATGATCCACTCAATTTTATATAAGAGTTTTATAGGCAGACAGATTAAACCACTATTATACTACAGTCATATAAGCATATAATATTGTTTAATGCATCTGTTTTTAAGTTCCAAGCCAAAGACCTGACATCACTGAAAAACAAAGCATAAAATAGTCCAGCAAAGCGTGGCTCTAAAATATCAATATGTCCATTTCAGTCACTAAGATATTATTATTTTCAACTCTAGCTCCTCAAAATATACTTTCCGAGTAATTAGATTTTCTCCTCTGTCAATCACAACTCATCTTTTGTTTAAAAAAAATATTTCTGTTATTCACTGCCGCACTAAAATAAAATCTTTGGGTAGGTTATTGAAAGTAAACTTTCAGAAATAAGGCCAGTCTGGTTAAGACTGGGATATCTATATTAATTCCTTGAGTATAGTTAAAGGGCTGCTCTTTTGATATTAACTTGGAAGTCTTCATCAATTAAGGAAATGGAACAGTATGAATTTCTTGATTGGATTTAATTTTGAAAATAGTGAAGCATTCAAAATGTTCTGGCAAGGAAGATATTCAAGTACATTGAAAAAAGGTAATTTAAAGGGCATCACTGTTTTATACTATTTTATGCAGTCAGATAGCAAATCCTAGCCAAACAATCAGGCCAGTTATTCAGAAGAAAGATTAATCTGAAGAACATTGTTACTGTTGTCTCTCAAATTCCAAAGCAGTAATTTTGATCCTCCACCTTCTGAACTAGAAAGTCAAAATGTGAATATTTTGACCTGACCTGATTTCTAGGTTTCAGCTATTTGACTCTGATTCCTTCTTCATTTACCCTTTTCTACATTCTGATCATTTTTTATTCTGAAGTAGTTCCTAGGATTTCTCAAACCAAGTCTAAACATTTTATAGCTTTGTCAACAGAATTAGGCGAGTAGAACTTGTGTACAGAGAAGAATTGCAGAAATTAAATTGGAAAACTTACAAAATTATAGCACTAAAAACCTAGAAAAATAAGCACTCCGTTGGCTTTAAATGAAAAGATGTATGAGGTAGCATGTAGCTACAGCCAAAACATGAGGAAGAACGTGTGAGGTCCAGTTTGAATTGTAACATGGTCAAAGAGACAGAATTACTGACAGTTAAAAGAAAATCCAACCCAATTCTTTACTTGTTATTTGTAGAGAACAAGAAAAGGATCCAGTTTATAATCCATAGCAACATTTTGTAGGATTTCTTCTCCTTATTTCTTCAGCTCTCATGCGCCCATTCGCTGTAGCCAAGTCATTCTCTTTATCTTCTCTCTAGGTACCTATATCATACCCACCAAGCCTCAGAGGCTACACACACACACACACACACGTCTCCAGGTTTCCTTCTCCCTTTCTCATCCTGTCCTCACACATTAGAAGACACACGTGCAGGAGTGGATGTGACAGAGATAGAGCTCATAAAGTGAGGGGAAGTAGCAGGGCAGCAAGAGGAGGCTGTAAACATGCCTGACAATATCGTCTCCCTGGGTTGCACAACCACTGACATCGTGCAAAGGAGATGTACTCAGAATGCAATTCACTAGACAGAGCTGTAAGTCACTTCCACTAGTAATGCGCATTTACTCAGGTTTACCATCTTCCTGACACTGCGCTACATATGAATCAGAGTTTAGGTAAATTAGAACTGGTAACACTGAACTATGCAATGTAATATCTCAAAATAAAGCTGTTACAAGTATTTTCTTTGGTCATTAATAATGTCCTCTCT